CAACGCTCTACCACTGAGCTACGAGGCTCACCGCAAGCCATGAATTTAGTGACACTTGGGTCGGTAGAGCGTTGGCTGCGCAAAAGCCTTCCCTGTTGTGTGCGTGTTCGACTCCCATCGAGGCCGCGAATTTTTCACAATTAGGTCAGCCGAAAGAAAGGAATGTCCAAATACGTTAATTCTATAGAATACATCTCAAGTTTCAAAGTTCACATCAAAGTTGGCCTGACAACTCCGTTAGAGGAGCATACTACCACCAGCACGGTAGGATATGTATAGGTCCAAAAACAAAAATGAATAATGCTTGGCAGGGCTAATTTGAAGTCAGGCTCCCGCTTAACTGCGGAAGACGGGAAAAAATATGACCAATTAACCTGCACATAGGTTTATTTATTCTCCTTCTCGCACGATGAAAATTGGGGTTAGCATTTGAAAATTGAAGCCTCCGGAATCTGCGTGAACTATTTAGCTAAAGAGTAGAGTTTCACACTTTTCCTACTTAAAGATAAGCAAAAAAATGAATGCATTCATGAAATGAAAATTGGACAAGGTAGGTGCGGCAAAAAAAGATGAAGTCACAGGCGTTTGAACAGTGATTTCGCGTTCGTTATCCTTGCAACTGGAACCGTCCCCATTCTTAGTACCATGTGCATCAAAAGGCAGCCGCTGGAGCTAAATTAGAAGGCTTCATTAGAAGGATAATGGACAGATAGATCATTGTCAGTCGCAGGGGAGCTAACTTCATCGAGTTAGCCTGATTGTGGGACGGATTATAGACGGCTGCCTTAGGGCTCCTTCTTTTATTTTAGAGTCATAACAAAGGGGAAAATGCATTCCAATTTGACTGAATATTTTCGATCGCTGCTGATTAGCCCATTCAAAATACTAGATGGCAGATTGTATCTGCTCATATCTCGTGTCTCTCGTCTGCGCTTTGGGCCGATGACAGAAATCCTAGTTTTCCTAGAGTTTGTCGATGATAATTGTCGACTTTGGAAGCCACGTAACCGTGCCAATATAGGGTTCTTTCAGAGGTAGGTCAGATGTGAATTAATTCAATCTCGGTTACAAATTGGCTTCGCTGTCTCCCTCGGTTAATGATCGCCATGCGATTGCCTACAGTAGCTTAAGTTGCAAGACACAAGAGGGCGGATATCTCCTGTAACCTGATTGGTGGACAACTTCGTACCATTACTGCAGAATACTTAATGCCTTTCTATTTGAGAAGTCATTTTTTCGCCACAGTCCATGAAATTTACGGGTACTTGCCGGACTATGAATGTTTAAAATGACGAAAGAT